AACAAAACACAGTTTATAATGAAACATTCTTTCAGCCCACAAAAGCATGACTTGTTAGAGTCGCTCCTTTTCACATTCCTGTGGCTTATCATGTTCACATCAGCTAAAAACAAAACAGAGCGTGGTGTTGGACCTAGCTAAGCAAGCTAGCTAGCTCCGCCGTATCGTCACTTCCAGGCACTTCCTGGTTGCAAAAACTTAACATGGCCACGTCACGATGACTATGTCCATTTCTTATATACAGTCTATGGTTTTAGCTAGCAATCGTTAGCTAATATAATTGGTTAGTTAAATAGCAAGTCATATCTTTACTTCTAACTTAACTTAAAACAAAACAACAAACACCTAGTTTAAACAAAATATATGATCAATACTTAGACTTTTTAATCTTGTAGCAATCGTTCCAGTAGTATAGCTGTCTGTGTCCGCCAAAACTGAAGCTCGTGCTTATTGCACTGAACAACCTCCAGGGCACTGAGCTGTCACTCAAAAACTCACCAGCCAACGGCGACGCATCCCTGAAAAAGCCCGCTCACGTGAGACATTTGTGTCAGAACTGCAAACAAAAAGTCAGGCAGCGCAAAAGGAGAGAGCTGGCAGCGTGAGCACGAAGCTGAAAGGGACAGCAAAAGTCTGATCAGTGAGAAAGCAGTTGAGGGAGCTGTAAACAAACAGATATTTTATCAAAAAAGTAAAAGACCAAAAGTGTGTTTGCAAGAAATGAGTTTTACTTTTGACTTGACCTTTTTTTGCTCGAGTTAGTTTTATTCTCTCTCAAAGTCATATTTTTGTTTGATAACTGAGAAGTTTTGTTTGACTAAAATGGCACAAATCCGACAGCAGAGGAAACAACCAGAAGTATTATTTTAAGCCAATAAATACCAATTGTATTTGTATTACTTTATCAATATTCTTTCTTCTCTTTGTTGAGTACACGTCTGCACTGTAAAAAAAAATCTAAAAGAAAAAAACAATCTAAAGCTAATAGGGGGCTTAGGACCATGTTAGGGTGGCTTCAGCCCCCCTAAAATAGGCCTAACGTCGTCCATAATATTAGGGCTGGGCACGTTATATTATTATATTATTATATTATTATTATCGTGTTAAAGCATTAACCTAATTAACGCCGGCAATTATTTTAACAGTTTTTAAAATATCTATAATTATTTTAAAGGTCCGTTGCTCACTGGCTCTGAATACCCCTGACATGCAAACCATGGGTCACAGGAGGGGTGGGATGTTGATCAGCCTGCAAATCACCCACCCAGACAAGCAGTAGAGGGAGGCTTCGGCAGACTACGCTGTCATCTTTTTCCAGTATTTTTCCACCCGTGTCCAGTTATGACGGCGGCAGGTGAGCTTGCTTGTTAACGTGATTTTAAGTTTTTAACCAAGTGAAGTCTGTGCGAGTGAACACATGCACCTAAGACGACCGCTGCAATGTGTTCCCTTGTTACAACCTACCCCACTATTGGGGTAGATTCTATTTTCAATTAAATTTTATTTATATAGCACCAAATCACAACAACAGTTATCTCACAGCTCTTTTTATAAAAGAGCAGGTCTAGACTGTACTCTGTGATGTTATTTACAGAAACCCTACAGTTCCCACCAAGAGCAAGCACTAGGCGACAGAGGCAAGGAAAAACTTCCATGGTTCTGCTCGAGGTTTCTGCCCCCTGGTTGGGCTGTGTAAACGTCATCGTTGCGCTGAGCAAATCAGAGGCACAGGAGGGCAGGACTTGCCCTCACCATAGTAGGATTCACAAATTTGCGCCCTGGGTAGCCCTTTTGCATCATTTTTTTGACGTTTAAGGTTCCGCGGTCAAGTTAGCAACACACAACAAATATGCAACGTCCAGTAAAGTTAGCAACAATAAATATGCAATATCCTGTGAGACTTTCAAAATAACACGCGAGCGTTTCGAAACGTTGCAATTTGGTAAGGTTTGGGCACAAAAAGTATCATCAAGATCATGGTTTGGGTTAAAATAACTACGTAGGTCAGTTAACACATTAAGTTAACTTACATCATTTCCGTAACTTATGCAATTTACGTAACTCACGTAACTTCAATAAAAATATTTAATGTTTGCTTTTTGTTTCACACAAAAACACAGGTCTCCTGGTTCAAAGTCCGTGTCTTGACCATGCGTCCATATGTGACGAGTCAGGGAGTGAGAACGGATTGGTTGAACATGTTGGCGACGTATGTTGTGCGAGACGAGAGATGTAGCTCATTGAACGTTTTTCACACCAAACGACATGGAACTTTACTGATTTACGACTCCAACTCTCTTGTATGGAGGGATTATTTGGTCAGAACTAAAACTAAAAGTCGAAATCAAAAAACGAATGAAAGAAATGAATTTGGTATTTAGGATTGGGCATTTAGTCATTTAGGCATTTAGGATTGGGGATTTGGGGTTCGGGGACTGAGTGGTGTATGCAAATGAGGAGGCGTGACCCAAAGGCCGTTTGGAAGGGCTGAGGCGCAGAGGCACTTTATGGACTGCAGGGGGAGCTCTGACTGCCAGCACACTGCCATGAAAGCAAGCAGAGGAAGTGAGCAGGGCTGGAGGGAGGACTATCATTTATAATACCATAACTAAAAGTGTACAGCATTTCTGTCCATGTGGCCTTACACACAAAGTCAACAGTGAAAGGAATGCTATCCATGTGACGAGAAAGCAGCGGACAGTACAGCAGGTAAGATATGATAACATTACCAAGTTAGCTATATTAGGCCAACTGTTTCTGACATGCATGAGTTACGTTACTGTCGGTACATGCAGGTTTTAAATGTGGCTATTAACCCCAATGTGGTGTGAGCGAGGGGCGTGGCGTGAGCGGTGCTACAGTCCGCAGCCGGACCTTATTGAGTCTGAGAGCTGACCGGGTGCGCGCGCATGGGGGCAGCTCCTGTAGCAGCAGGGCTGGTAGCCATGGCAGTGAGGGAGAGACAGTCACCAAGCTAATCATTGAATTCGGTTCCAAATAGAACGAGTGGCCCTGAGAGGACTAGAGGCAGCCGATTTTTATACTCTCTTTTTCAGAGCACCAAACCTTTTAATATGCATTGGTGTATATAGACAGTTTCAACAAATATGACAAAAAGTGTTTTAGAAGCAACTTGCCTACCCTGCCTTTAACCTCTCTGTTTATTCACGGCTAAGAATTTCATTCAGAAATGTTAAAAAGAACATTTATTTTGAATAAGTGGTTGTATGGGCTGGATGCAAGATGTTTGATTAGTACATGAGACACCTTCTGTTTTGTGTTTGCAATTTAAAAATGACAGTGAGATGAAAGTGAGGCTCTTATTAATGTCTGTGAAGATTCTCAGTCATCCAGGTCATAGTTATCCAACGAAGGTTAAAGTCAAGGGCAACTGGACTTGGCTCTTATTAATATGTAATGTTTACCCATAATTAAATTTGATCTAACAGAGGTTGACTCTGAAGACTTTGCAATTTAGTCAATATGTGTACTACATTTAGTCATTTGGCAGACGCTTTTATCCAAAGTGACTTACAATTGAGGAAAAACATACAAGCATCAACAGAGCATAAATACATTAAGAGATCTACAACACTGCAATCAATACAAAAGAATTGTAATGAGATAGAAGAAGAGGAGCACAGGAAGTGCATGCTAGAGGTTAGGAGTTAGAGGTGTTGTAAGAGAAAGTGTTCTCTGAAGAGATGAGTTTTCAAGAGCTTCTTGAAGTTAGAAAGGGACGCCCTGCTCTGATGGCGTGTGGTAGCTCGTTCCACCATCGTGGTGTCACCGATTAGAACACGGACTGAGACTGCTTTGTGTGTAGAGATGGCAAAGCCAGGCAGCGTTCAATGGAGGAGCACAGTGGCCGAGAAGGAACGTAATCTTGTAGCACTGGATATAATCTTTGACTTTAGGTAGATGGGTGCAGACCCAGTAGTCACTCTATATGCAGCATTAGTGCATTGAATATGATTCTGGACGCCATGGGGAGCCAGTGGAGGTCACTCAGTAATGGAGTGACATGGGTCCTTTTGGGGTAATCAAAAATCAGACGCGCTGCTGCGTTCTGAACCATTAGTAGGGGTTTCACTGCACAAGCTGAAAGACCTGCTAGGAGGGAATTTCAATAGTCGAGGCGAGAGGTAACCATGAAGCCAGAAGCTGGGTGGCGTACTGAGTGATGTAGGGCCTGATTTTTCTGATGTTGTATAGAGCAAAGCGGCACGACCGAGACACAGCAGCAACATGGTCTGAAAAGGACAGCTGGTCATCATTCATGACACCCAAGTTTCTCACCACCTTGGTTGGAGTGATGGTTGAGGAGTCAATTTGTAGTTTGATGTTATGGTGGATAGATTGCTAGACTGGAATGACCAAGAGTTCAGACTTAGAGGAGTTTAGTTGAAGGTGGCCTTTATCCATGCAGATATATATACAAGAGTCCGTCCGTGATCCGTGCCGAGACAATCTGTCAGGAAGGATAGGTAGAGTTGTATATCGTCTGCAAAGCATTAGTAAGAAAAAAAAATCATAAGTGCTGATTGCTGGCAGACATGATTCCTACATTCCCTTTCCCATGAAAATAAGACGTGATTTAAAGTTTTTGTTCAGATGATTGATCATAACAGCAAAAGAAGGTATGAGTATGGAAAGTTTCCTCTATGAGCTGAAAAGGTCAAGTTATGCTAGAAAAGAAATAGCTCATTTGAAGTTATATGTGACCTTGTTGGAAATGTAAAGCATACGTGTAGGAGCCATTATACATGGACATGTCCCCCCCACATTTCAAAAGCTATGTTTTGTGTGTCTTATCAATTAATCTCAACTCCGCATCAGACATAAATAAACAGACATAGATAAATAAACGGTTAATTGGGCATTCTGGGCAGGGGCCCATGGACACTTGGGGCCCAAGTGTGAATCACTCTGAAGCAAATGTTAGGTGAGTTTTCTCATTGTAAGAAGTTAATGCCATCTATGTAAAGATGTATGTGTTCCTCTGCAGGTTATAATCTGAGTCCTCAGGCCATGAAAAGCATCATGTGGCGCTACAGCACAAACAGCAGAATCACCTTTGATGATTTCATGAGCTGTTGTGTAAGACTCAGAGCGCTGACCGGTGAGTGGGCTGAGGAAAGCATGAAATCTGAGACAGCATTAAAAAAGAAAAAGGACAATAAACTCCACTACTCAAACATTAACAGAACTAACACTGGCAGCTCATTGAGAGCTTTATTTAGTAGATATATCAGCTATTTCAACACATTGCCTTTTTTACTGTTGGATCTCCTGTAGCTCAGCTTGTCCGTTTTTGACAGAGGACCTTTCTTCTACTTCTTTATTATTTTCTGAATGAAACAAATGTTAACTTCAAGATAAAGATAAGATGTGACCAAACAAGATTAGAAAAGCATTTAAAAGTTTTTAAAATGTTCATCAAGTAGGATGTTTTAATGTGTGTGTGTGTGTGTGTGTGTGTTTCAGACCAGTTCCGAAGGAGAGACACAACTCAAACTGGCAATGCCACATTTCAGTATGATGACGTAAGTTTCCTCTCACTTTTTCCAAAGCTTTAATGTTGCTTCTGCTACCAAGAACATCTGAGTCCGTCATCACTGCACATGAGAACCGGCTGGTTGAACTGAAGCTCCTGAGCTCCAGAGTCAATTATCTAGAACAAATGTTTAGTCAGGTAACTACCAGCAGGCTCAGTCTGCAACGTCACTGATGATGATGGCAACATGGTTGCCATCACCCCCCTTGAGGATGGTTCCAGGGGGTTCCCAGCAAAAAAGGGCAATCATTTATTTTCTCTATAATTCCATCCATACAGTAACATAACGATCATTGGTCATTGTTTTCATACACTTTCTGTAATAAAACATCTAAATGCAAAAAATTCCTATCATATGGGGGTCTGTGGACTAATCTGTGTACATTTGGGGGTCCTTGATGTGAAAAGTTTAAGAACCACTGCTGCAGACGGTTGCACACACACTACAAATAAATAATGTACTTTACAGTGTAATATTATTAAGAGTACAGTTTAGACATGCCGCATCTGAAAAGTGTCTTGACATGGGCGCTGTACAATGTAAATGTATTTGAAAACTAACATCCTATTGCTGTAAGGTGAAACATTCAAATGAGTCTGAGAACAAAACCTGATGGGCTGGACAAAGATTAGAGGCTTATTGTTTTTTAGTGTATACGTGGGCGCTGTATACGGGGAAAAAGTTAGGACAATTCCAAGAATCCAAAAAATAGGTTAAAACTAATATCAGATTATATTATATTATACATTATATAAACCATCATCACTGAGTATATATATATTTCATATATAATAATAAAATTAAAGCTGCATGCAGCGTTGGGCGGACCCTCGCACATGTAGTGCGTCGAGGTGTGAGGCGGCCACCTTTTTTCAGAAACGACTTACTTCCCGTTACCTGTGGGTGGTGCTATGACCAGTGAATATTTTCATGTAGATGTGTTGAGGGCGTGATTTGTAGAATTTTGTTTTGTACAGCGAAGTTGCAACAACCTCCTTTGTCATGGCGAAGCATCGAACTTTGATGCCACGCCAAGGACACACGGTTATCCGAAAACTGACAAGATTCACAACATAGCATCATTAATGTCTTAAGGCTCTTCTGAGACTGTTTTGAAGAAGGTGAGGCAAATATGTTGGGAGTAGTACATAACAGCGTAAAACTTGACACTTCCTGTTGCCAGCAGGTGGCGCTATGACATTGTGTATTTGTTGGCATATAGATGTGTTCAGGTCGGGACTCATCCTACATGTACAGTTTGGTGCAGATCTGAGCATGCACACTGAAGTTATAACAACTTCCGCCACAGATAGCGCAACTTTTCATTGTCAGTGCTTTTAGAAGTCGATCGGACTAAATCCGTAGGAGGAGTTCGTTAAAGTACAGAGTGTGTACATTACCCAAAAATGACCATAAAATTTAAAATGGCCAACTTCCTGTTGGGTTTAGAGCCTCATGGAGTGATGCCCTAAACCCAACAGGAAGTTGATAATTAGTTAAAAAAGATAAAAAGTTTGGTGAGTTTTTGAGCATGTTTAGGCCCCCAAAACTGAGTTTACTTTGCAGAAAATAAAAAATAAAAAATCCCTTCAGTTTCAATAGGGACCTCGCATGTTTCATGCTCGAGCCCTAATGAATGGTGTCTTTGTTTTTAATCCAAATTGACCAAAAAGTAACACCTCCATATTGACCAACCAGCCCCCTGCATCTGCATGAAATAGTTTGGTCCTGCTTTAGCGCACTCATCAGTGACGGTGTTAAGCTGCAGTCAGTAGATGCGCCAGAAACTAGTGATGGCAAGTTCGAGTCTTTTGACAGACTCATTCAAATCTTGTTCATTAAAATGAACTAACTGGTGTGGTGGCAGCCCGGCTGACGGTGAGTGTCCTGTTTATTTCCCCCTTTTTGCTTGTGATTCTGTTTTCCCCTGGTGTTCTGTTTTTTCCTGTACTCTGCCTGCCTCCCTGTGTCTCCTTCCCTGTGTGTGCTCTCTCTCTCTCTCTCCCTCCGCTCCTGAGCCCAGCCAACGACCCGCACCTGCACCTCGTCAGCCACCTCCTCTGCCTGCCACACCTGCCAGTAATCAGCCTCATCTCTGACAGCACTTCTACCCCGGTTCTCCAGTCAACCCCTGCTTGATCGTCGTTGCTCCTTACCCGGTGCCACTTCACCATTCAAGCTGGCACGTATTCTGCATCTTTTCTATTTCCCTGTGCTTTGTCTCAGCTGTGTCTGACCCTGTCTGTCTGTCTCCCCTCCAGGTCCACTCACCTCCGTCCTCCGCTCCGCCAGCTGCGCTCGCCACCCTGCCCTCTCCCCTCGGACCTCTTCCACGGCGTCCTCCCGGCTCCTCCCCGTACCTCCTTGCTTCCTCGGTCCCCAGTGCCCCCGGCTCCCTTGTCTCAGTCTCCTTGGTTCCCCGTGCCCGTGTTTCCCCGGCGTCCGCCACTCCCTCACCTCCACTCCCTCAACCCCGTATCCCCTTCAATAAAGCCTGTTCTTCCCCAGAGTTGCGTTTGGGTCCACTCTGTCCCCACACCACACTGTAACACTAATCTTTTTGTTCATTTGAACTAGGCTGGTTATTGCGGCGCTGCAGCCCTCTAGTGTTCTCAAACACGGAAGGCTGCCTGGCTTGCTTTATTTGACAAAGTATAATGCACAAATTCACCTCCTGATTACTGTAAATCATCATTATATAAACCCCCCTGGGCCCACAACCAAATTCAAACCATGTAAAAACCACAGAAATATGTTGTCTATATGCAGTCCACTACTCCGCCTAAATCCTTCTCTTTTCACAATCTTTCCCGAGTATACAACCAGACCGGCCAAATAAAGGCTTATGTCTATAATTACTATCATTATCTCTGAAGTCCACATTCATACAGCAGCCTAACATCCTTATCCATGAGTAAAATATTAATCAGATTTGCAGTAAATATATTGAAGTAATAAGCTTGATACATTATGTGAATAAACACACTCTTATTAAAATTCAACCAATTTAATAATAATCTGGATCAAGCCACCAAGTTCTTAAAGAACTCCAGCACAGAGAGAGGAACAAAATAAACACATATAAACGCAGCAGTTTGGCAGTTCTGGACGCAGAATGGGCCACATCAGGTCCTGATTCTGCAGACAGAGAAACACACATGAGCACATTGCTCTCAAACACTGCAGGTTGTTCACCAGTCACGAGCTGTGAAACAACAGCACGACTCTGTTGGTAAATAAAAAGGTTACGTTACGTTGCGTTCTCTGGCAGACCGGATCAGCTGTTAGCTGTTTACAGAGCTAACGCTAACGTTGCTACGTGGCTGTGTTTTAATGTTTTAATTACCGGGTCTGTTTGTTTTGGAGAGGAGACGAACTCTGAGGTAATTCAGCTCCAGGTAGAACCCTGTCAGGACTCTGAAGTGGAGTGGACCCAGAACAACTCTCATCAGCTATTAGCTGTAATGTTAAACACTAGCAGGACTAAAGTTACGGTGCGGCTGTGTTAAAACTATAAAGCACCACATCACTGCGCTGTAATAACGGTATGCTTTATAAAATGTCACATAATTAACAAAATAGCTATATAATGTCAGTCCAGTGACTGTTACCTGACAGCCGACCTGCCTCTCACTCTCCGGCGCTGGCAGTCACTCAGCCTGCCGAGTGAACGAAAGACTGAGGAGGACCCATGTGAGCGCTGAACGAGTCGTTCATTTCTGCTAAACAGTAGGAGCTGTCACGTGACAAATGAACGACTCAGATCTAGAGACCCACAGTTGAGAGTCATGAATTAATCAATTCTGCTTCCTGTGCTGACGGAGCCCATGCTGCTGCCGTGTGACGAGTGAACGTGAGAGTCCAAGATCCTTCACGCATGCGTGAAAATGAACGAATCACTCACTGAGACAACCCGTTCCTCCCGAGTCATACACATGATTAGGTCTTATGAACGAAACGTTCATTGAACGACACAACACTACCAGAAACACAGTGATAAGCTAGCTAGCTACAGTCTAGTGTTAGCCTACATTTCCTCAACATTTAATCAGTACAAGGAAAAGTTTAGCAAGATATTCATATTAAATCATTGTCCCTGCCCCTTTCAGCAGACTAACAACAGATGAGTCAGCAGCAGCCCAGTCTCCCCATAACTGTAGCCTCCCTGTCCCAGTGAAGAAGGGGAGCAGCATTGTGTTAATGCCAGGGAGTCTGTGGGAATTTCTCTGTGTCTCTGTCTCTTTACCGTGACAAAAAAGACAATGAAATTTTTCTTAATGACAGAAATTCAAACACAAATTATTTTCTCACATAATGATCATTATGAAATAAAATAAAAACACCTTCCTGTCTGTACTGGATGCTGGACAGCAGCTTATCTCAGCCTGCATGTAAGTTACAGACTATATTAAAATAATCCAGTTTGATTCGGTCATTTAGATTGAATTATGGCCGTTAATGACATCTATAGATACAGACTTTATTATTCCCATCATGAAGGGATTTTATTTAAGAAACTTGCACACACACACGCGCGCGCGCGCGGTAGAAGGAGAAAGAAGTGTGGAAGCAAAGGAAGAAGGGAAAAAAAGTTACAATGATGAGTGAAGAAGACAGAAGTCATAAAGAGGGTGTTGACCCAGGTTTGTGGCCTGCGGATTTGACTGACAGGGAGGCTTTTTTTTATATTTCATTAATGATAAGATAATTTTATCTCAATTTTACAATAAAAATACATTGAGACAGTTAAAGACATTTTTTATGGTGGCTTTTAATCTTGCATCAAATAGTGAACTGCATCCTCTATGCAGACATGCATGTACAAATCACCAGCAGCAAATATTGTGTTAGTGCTAGTATTGAACTACAAGAAGCCAGACAGTTGCAAGCCTATAATTAGAGTTATGTAAAGCTTTTGATGGGACAGTTAGGTCCTAAGTTGTGGTAACAACAGCTGCGCAGGGGGTCTGAATTAGATTTTTTTGTCTTGGGGCCCAAAATTCCTGGTGGCCCCCCTGTGTCTTGAGAAAACTTATGTTATGGAGGTGCTATCTAAATTGAACTGACATCAAACATGAAATGATCAAAACTGCCACCTCTAAACACCACTGCCAATTATAAATTTAAAAACTTAAAATAAAGCTGTGAACATTTTTCTTTTAAGGATGTATTATTACTTTGTTTTGTGGCGTTACAAAGACAAAGCACACATCTACACATTTATTTTTACCATTATTTTCTGCCCACTTTGGATGCGGCAGAAGCAAGCTGTAAACACGACACTGACATATCACATTTTAAGTTTATATGACAAACACAGTTGCGTCTTTACACACCCAGCAGATATTGAGGAAGATTTATTTATGTATTTGGAGTCGTGTTTTTGTCCACCTGATGGATGTAAGTCCAAAATTCTCTCTCCTTTTTAGCTTTGGTCGCTAATAATATCTTAGGGAAATATTTAGCTCTTCCACACCGTCTCCAGTAGGCGGCGGTTTTCTGCAATCAAGCCAATACAAGATAAAGCCACTGACACTACCTGCCCAGAAACATATGGACAGACACAGTTAGAGACAGATAATATTGTCAGGAGTTGGTGGAGATCAAACCACAGCTAAGAGCAGAGTGAATATTAGACTTACATTCTGCAGCTGATTACTCGCCTTAACAATTTTAGGTGAAATATAATTTTCTTCAAACTTTCCAACAAAACAATCAGTGCAGCTTTAAACACTCAGATAACTCAGAGCCAAGACAAGACAGCCAGGTGGGTGATGAGTGTTAGTTGTACAATAACACTGGATATGTGTCTCTCTCTCTCTCTCTCCAGTTTATCCAGGTCACCATGAGCACATGAAGAGGAAACAGAGGGGACACACCAGCCTTTTATACTTTTACTATTAACAGCATGTACTTTCAATGTGTATTTTTTGTTTAACAAATGTTTAACTTAATGCCACTGTCACATTATCCAACGAAGGTTAAAATCAAGGGCAACTGGACTTGGTTGAAGAGACTGGAAGACGTTTCGTCCCTCATCCAAAGGACTTCTTCAGTTCTGACTGACTGGCAGGGAAACTCAGCTATTTAACCTCAGTGGGTTCATCGATACCGCTGGTTCGTTAGTGTTCCTTGTTGCTGTGACGACAGTCGTTACAGTCGTTAAGGCTACCTGTGGCCAAGACTGAACGACCATCGTTGGTATCTTCACCTGAGGCCAATAGGTTACGTTTGTTGAGTTTCCTGGGAAGTGATGAAAGAATACATTTAAAACTATATAATAAATATATATTCATTTATACATATATATATATAAATGAATAGAAATATAGCCGGTACCAGTCTTGTGAAAAAAATTTGTGATCATTTGGATCCCCTTTAGATCTTCTGGGGGGCCAACAGGGCTGCATCACATGATTGTTGGTCTGTTGGACCGTCTGCGCTCCATCTGGAGCAGCTGTGGCTCAGGAGGAAGAGCGGGTTGGCCGTTAATTGGAAGGTCGGCGGTTCAATCCCTGTCTCCCCCTGGTTGCGTGTCGAAGTGTCCTTGGGCAAGATACTGAACAGCTGTTCCGCCAGCGTATGAATGAGTGTGAATTTTAGTTTCTGTTTGAGCACTTAGGCTCAGTGTATGACTGGTGAATGCAGATGTAGTGTAAAAGTGGTCGAAAAGACTAGAAAGGCGCTATACAAGTACGGATCATCTGTCAGTGTTTTCCTCTCCTCTCAGCGTGAAATCAGTGTACAATTATTATCATAAGAAGTCTGAGTTCTGAGGTATTATTTTTTCATCTGAACTTGGGATTCAAACCTTTGTGTCCATGCAGAGTGGCTGGTCTACGGTATATAGTTTCAAAGGCAAACCTACCAATGTCCTTATTGTGATGTCACCATGCACCGTGCATTTTTACAGTGTCCCCTCAGTCAACGCCATTAATCTTATTGGGAGATCCTAAATGACAATAAAAAGTTGAAGAATGGCACCAAAAAGCAGAGATACATGTCTGAGCTTTTCTATGGACCCTTCTGGGACTGTTTTCTGTTTTCACAGCTCTGTTTAGGTTTCTTTAATTGTGTGGTAGAAACTATTAAACTTCCTTATTTTATATTGTTGTTAAAGGGCCAGTCCAGTCTGCTCCTGGTGAATGAGTGTTTGATTGAGCAGACATTCTTTGGATTAATTAGTCTTGCGAGTGCTTGTCAGTGTAATTTCTTACATAAAACCTCTGAGCATCAAATATATTTATGCAATATTATATAATATTAAAATTATATTTAATAAGACACTGTAATTTTACTCAGATAACCATCAGTCTATCATTTTAATTATATTCTATGTCTAACCCCATGTTGAGTTGAACAGTTTGTGTACAAGCAGAGATGAAGGTAAAGTCATTCCTAACAATAACAGGGACAATGAACCAAAGTTCTTGCTCAGTCATTTTTATTTCAAACAGGACCTCATGTCATGTGAGGAAAGAGCAGAAGAGAGCAGGACAGGCTGACAGGATTGACTGCCAAGATCCTTGTTAGCTGTGAAGTGTACAATTGGCTTCATCCATGACGTGTTCTCTCACTTTGGCCAGCAGTTCTTGTGCTCTTTTACTAACATTAATCACACTTTGACAAGCTGAACCATGCTGTGAAAAAAAACAGATGCAAGTTTAATTTTGCAAACACAATGGAGGTGGGATTGTTTAAATGAGTGCTTTGCGTGTTTTAATGGTTTCCCGCCATGGAGAGTCGGGAGGGCAACGTATTAAATAAAGATGCTGTTACACTCACATGAAATTGCGTTTAGGCTTGTTAGGTCACATTGCGTGTAGTAAATAAATGTATTTGCATGTTACCCTCCCATTACTTTGCACAATGAAACTGAAACGCCCTAAATTGCATATTCATTAAGACAAAAGTAGTAAATGAACAACAATACAATATTTTGCACTTTTGAAAGACTCATTCTGCACGCACACCTTTAGTAGATCAGCTTACGCGTTAATTTGCGGGTTAATATCAAGTTTGAACACGTTTTTACTGACGCAAACCTTTCGTAAATCTGGCCCATGGTTTGTTAATTGTAGTTCTTATGGAAAGGCAGGAAACAATATGACCAAAGCTAGAGCATGATGAATTTCTTATATTATGTAATTGTTAAATGAATGTCTCTTGTTATGTGGTACTATCATTTCAGTACCCTTCACCCCTTTGGTTAGAGTAATAATTTTTATTGTTTGTTAGGCGCCTAACTGTATTGTTATTCTTGTGTGTTTCTCTGTTTATTATTTTGGTATATCGGAAATATCTGTCCCTCCTACATTCTTATTGTGGTACTATGGTGATGTTCAAACTTCTGTGAAAAGATTTTACACTGTACATACCTGCAGTGAATGGCTCTCACCATAACGTATAAAAGTAGCCATGTGTTCACATTCCTGGTAAGGAGGTCATATCTTTCACAGTTCTTCAAGGCTTTTTCAATTCGCTTTGCAATTTCGTCCGGGGATCCTGGTTTGAAGCCTTTAATGCCATCGAGGTAATTGTCCTTCTTCTCTTGATGATTATCTCTAACTTTTGCAAGTTTGTCAAATCTGCAGTTTGACCTATCCCAGTCACCTGTGTGTGAGAATAAACGTTTAGAAATATTGTATATAAACTTGATCCAAAATCTGGTACTTGTTCTCTATGTATTTTGTTTGCTCCTTTCTTACTTACTTTAACTGTACACAAGTTACAAAAGCCTGGAACCCAGCTACAAGTTTTTTACAAACACATCTATGGTATGTACACATAATGATTTGGGAAATGTTCTAGTTTGTCATCTGAGTCTGACGAGAAAATAAATATTATTTAGTGTCTAAATCAGACATCTCTGGAGCCAAAAATCGATTAGGAGCTTCGGGCATGACAAAACATTTGTGTCGTGATTATTCTCCTCTCTCTTATCCAACATTATGTAGTAATATGTCTACTACATTTAAATGAACATGAATATGCAAAAAAACTTACATTGGTGGCTCCTACACTATATTTAAATGAGCATACTTCACTTTAATTTTTACTCACTACACGTACCTGTGCGGTGAACTATGTCATTATCACCTTGGCCAATGTCTCTTTCTGACTTTGGGCCCACATAAATGGCATAGTGCATGTACAAGGGCTTTGCGGTGTTCTTGAGACATTTCCTGGGAAACACAATTATATCTCCAAATTGGTACTGTGAACAGAAGAAGTCAGAGATGCAGATCAACGTTTACATTCAGTGCAAAGCAAATCAACACAACAATCAGATTTAGTAGAGAGTTCTAGATGGAGCACAACCCTTCTGAGTAATGTGTTGTAATAACTGAACAATAAAGCAGTGGCTCGATGAATATGTTATCTGAAGCAATATATATCAGTCAGAGTCAGGTAGTTTTAGCTGAGTTTTATTCCTCAGGGGTGCAAACAGCAGGATTAAAGCTGCCAACGGATTTTGTTTGCCATCATTTCAAACATCTTCATTGTCTCTCTTATCGTGAATGTAGGACTGAATTCCGCTTATTATTGTTATTATACTGTAGATGTTAGAGATACAAATCTGTTTAGAAAAAGAGATGACTGGTTGCTTTGTATCACGGTAGATCAAAAATGTGTTGGTACTCTTGGAAAACTGGGGGAAAAAAAGAAATCTTGAAGGCCATCCAGGACAAATCTATTGGTTTAATAAAATATCCTCTGTGGCTTTTGTCTTTGGATTAAAAACTTTACAGTGTTAGGGTTTGAGAGGGAAAAGCATTTTCTCATCAAGCTGCTTTTCAGACCCCAAAGCAGTGCTTTTTGGCCAAGATATACTTTATGGATATTACTAAAACATTTTCTACAATAAAAGACACAATACTATATTCATAATTATCACCTTAGCTATGATTTAATTTTTTTGCTGTTGTTTATTTAGGTCACACAAAAACTACTTTGTTAAAGTTGAGAAGGAAAATATATTTGTATCAGTCAAACTGTAGTGGCAGTGGAAGCTTGGTTGTTACTGGCTGGTTATCATTGGATTATTTTCAATAATGGTAGCACCAATAACAACATAAATAGATGAAGAATATACAACTATAAATAACAATAAAGCAACCTACCCCATTAATCTCTATTATTGTGATCACCAGCTGAAGGATCACAGCAACCAAGATTGGCTTTTTCATTTTTGCAGCAGTGGAGAACTGACATGGTCAAAAGAGGAGAACATGTTTTAGACATTTATAACAAAAATCAATTATACAAACCATGATTAACTGATTTTACATAGGTTAATGTGTGCTGGCTACAGCCTTTTAAAAAAAGGAGTGATGAACATGCTAACCCACCATTTTAAAGCCTCTGTCTGTGAGTGTTTGACAGTCACACAACAATAGTTGTGCCTGATTTAAGCAGTGAAACTGAGTTTGAAGAAGGACAAAGCTGAATACTGGAAACAAGAAACAGGACTGAAAGACATTGGGCAGATACAGTCAGGACTTACCACTGATGTGTTGAGAAGATGGTGACTGAATACTAAAAATTAGCCTCTTAGCTCCCTGAAAGTACAAACACTCACATTAGTTTAACAATGCATTGCAGTCTTATATGCATATTTCTGGAATTAGCACCAGATACAACCAGCGGCCTCACACATGAGACAAAACATTTTCTGTCATTATAATTCAGTTTAGAGCAACACACTGAGGTCAGAATTTAGAGCAAGCAAAACCCTTCCAGTTTTCTGTTATGCCTGCCTTAAAGTAGTATTTCATTTGCCATAGTCACTGGAAAAATCTTTGCAGAATGAATTGTTTCACTTACCTTCTGCAGTGAGATGGTAGAAGCGTGTTGTGGAGATCAAGGGTTCACCTTATATACACTAAAGAA